CGTGAGGTCGAAGTTAGTTACGTTTGCGGCGAGGCGGAAGGTGGTTGTGGTTTGTCTGACGGGAAGACTGGCTGCCGTTGCCACTGCGGCGAGGAGGGTTGTCTGAATGAGTGTCTGGGCGAACATTTTGTTAAGTTGTTGAGTGAGAAGAGGAAAGTTGTGGTTGATAATGTTTTATAAGATAGTTGGTTGGTCTCGTATGTGAGTCTGAATCTGATTGAGAGCCTCCATCACGGCAATTTCATTGGGCTTATATGTGAGTTGAACTCGGATCATAGTTCAGCATTCTTGATGCAACGTTTCTCATCGTGGCGGTACTAAACTAGTCCCTGCCTCATGACACTCTTCACCTCGGATCCTTCAAGACGTTCTATTTCCGTGAATTTATGTCATAAGCCGCTCGCTAGAGCAGTGCCTCTTTAGCGCTGCGCTGATCTTTGGGGCTTGGCGATTCTAGTGCTTAGGGACGTGGCTGCCGGCGATCCGGGGTGAGACGGGATCGCCGCCGGCGCCCCACTCTCCCGTCCGCTCCGAGCGCGGGGTACCGGCCGTCCTGTCATGGAGACGGGGAATTGGAGTTTTTCGCCCAAAGACGACAGTTCGTCCTTTGACACTATTTCCCACATTGCGATTTTGTCGGCGCGTACGTCTCAGGCGACGCTCACTTGTGTCATAGCGCTGCAGTGACCTTCACACGACCTGAGCCAAAGTAAGCAGGTGTCCATTGAGTCTGATTACTGCCTTTTTCTGGGTTTCTAACCTTCTTTCCATTTTGGTAGACCGGAGGAATTGGGCTGAAGGCGATGCCTCGTATTCTGAACCAGGCAGGTGAGACACCCTCTTGACGCAGTGGCGCACATCAAACGTGCGTCTTGAACGGATTTCTGACATCAACGCAGCATGGTAAAGATGAGAATCAGAACTAGTATCGCCCACAGACCGGTCTTCGTGCTGACAAGTGCCACCAGCAACACCTGCCGCGTCCGTAAGGTCAAATGTAAGCAAATATCCACCATGACACCATGGAAAGAGCTCCTTTGACCAATACGAGATTACTCAGGCGACGAGGCCCTGCCAGCGTGCCAACGTTGCCGCAAGGCTCAGCGATACTGTGACCGCACCACCCCGCTCCCACAACTCAAAAAGAGCCAGCAGGATGCAGAAGAGCCCGACTCTGCTGGTGAGTATCTTCTATGCGTACCTCACTGTTCTTGATCCTGCACACGTTGTAGCCGCTCACATACATCCCTTAAAGCAGACGAACCGCAAACTCCTTTCCCATCACCATCCAACCCCCGCAAAGCCCTCCAGAACCCGTCCATAGCACGCTACTTTTTCCACTACATCGCCGACATCGCACCGTGGTACGACCTCAGCGATGCGTTCCTTACCTTTGGCACAAGCCTTCCCGAGGCCGCCCTCGATAGCCCGCTGCCCTTCGCCGCCATCTTGGCACTGTCCGCGGTCCACACAAGCAGAACGACTGTACCGTCCGCCAGGGCGGCGGCGGAGTTCTACCACGGGCACTGCATTCGTTTGCTGATTAACATGGCAGCGGAGGTGTACGACAATGATGAGCGAACGCAGGGGCTTGCGCTAGCTTCTGTTTGGCTCTTGCGGTCGTATGAGATTTTGAGTGGTGAGATCCTGTCGTCTTCCGGTCACTACTTTTACGCACCCTGTAGACACTTTGGCATGGGTATTGCATAAACTGACACCAAAGCAGAAGAGGTAGACCCAAACAGGCACCTCCAGGGAGCATATTCACTGGCAGCCTATCATACCCCTCAAACTGACGCCTTTGGGTCTAGCCTTCGAGCAGCAGGCTTCTGGAACTATCTTCGTGAGGACATCACCTTTAGCTTATTCCGCAGATGCCCGCTCAAGATAGACCTTGCTCAGGTGCCCCTAGCCCTACCGGCGTCTGATTCAAGAACCGATCAGGACTACCTTAGTGCCGTTACTCTCATTCTCGGCCGCATCATCAATACATGCTTCAAGGGCTCGAGTTCTGTCACGGAGGAGTCGTGGTCTAGCCTTTCTCATCTGTTACGTGAATGGCGTAAAAGTCTTCCGTCACGGTTTGAACCCTTTTCCACGGTTGAACGCGGTCTGGGCCTCGCCTTGCCATCCATTTGGCTGCTCAGAGATCATCATGGTAGGCCTTTATATCTTAGAACACCCTTGTCTTGTGACTGAATAAGAATCTAGCGGCGGCCCTTCACTATCAGCTTGTCGCCACTACGATACTCTGTATCCACGCAAGCCCGCAACAATTATCAAGTCTTCAAAACACACTAGACGGTCGAAACGGCCGTCAAGACACAAAAGACGATATCCTCGAGCACCTCGCCCTCGATGTCTGCGGCGTGGCCTTCACCGCCAACACGCCCTCGGTTCAAGTCAATGCCTTTGGCCCCATTGCATTCTGTAAGCCTCTTACATCCATCCTTTCATTTGACAACACTTCCTGCTGCATTTTTTAAACCAACAACTGAAAAGACTTCGACAGGCGCACGATTCATCAGAAGAGAAGCCTCGCGACAGGAGCTGATCCGCCGCCTCTTGGCGTGTAAGCGAACAATCGGCTGGCCCGTCCAGAGACTCGTCTCGGAGCTGGAGGCGGAGTGGAGGAATCCGCCGCCACCGGAACAAGCAGACAACGAATGAGGAGGCGGATATTAATCGAAGAATGGTCAGTCGTAGCTTGCTGTGTAGAGGGGTGTGGGCTAGCGTACCCCGAGCTCGGATTTGGGGGAATCTGGGGAAACCTAGTAGCTAGGTGGTCCGGGGTGGATGGGGCATGCACGTTTTGTCATCCAAACCCGAGCTCGGCATTGGGGTAGAGAACCTCTTCTTAAGCCTCCTCCCTTCGAGATATAAATGCATAAGAAATCTCTGGAATTTCCCATCAATTTCACTAAACGTATCCGTCTACCCATGAATATCCTTCTCAAGCCATGAAAATGATCTCCTCCCCAACGATGCTCCTCCGTTCACGCCTCCCTTTCTTGACCTCAAATGCCCCCTCTCGTCTACGCTTCCCTATCACCAGTCGAACAATGGCCTCACTTACAACAAACACTCACGACCACAAAACCCTCCCATCAACACCAGCAACAATACACCCCTCACATTCTGAACTTGCTAGTGCTCGCCTCTCCCCGCGCAACCTCGAACTCGCCGTCCGCTACCTCCACAGAGACGGCCTCGTCGTCGTCTCCGACGTCGTCCCGCACGCAGACCTCGACGCCCTCAACACCAAAATGGTCCAAGACGCGCTCTACCTCCGGTCCCTCGGCGACAAGGGGCCCTTCAACTATAACCTGGGCAACTTGCAACAAGATCCGCCTCCCGTGGCCGAGTACTTTCACAAGTCCATCTTCACAAGTTGAGTTCATTCCACATCCTCCTCGTATCTCTATACAAACAAACTCACAACCGAAACAACAGACGCCATAGCAACGCAAATAACCTCCTCCCTCCTAGGCCCGCGCCCAAAATGGACCTTTTGCTCCGCAAACTCGGCCATGCCGCCCTCACCAGACTCCAAACCACAACGCCAGCCAGTCCACTCCGACGCAGATTTCGCCCACCCATCCCACCCCTTCGCCCTCGTAATCAACATTCCCCTCGTGAAAATGACACCCTCCAACGGCTCAACGGAGCTCTGGCTCGGCACCCACGCTCCCTATCTCCTGCCCGCCTCTCCATCTTCACCCTCATCCTCATCCACCACCACAACAACAACACCGTCCTCAAGCTACACCGGCACCATAATCCCCTCCGGCATAGCAGCCCAGCAAGGCACCCACGGCACCCGCGCAAGCGGCCGCATCAACCCCCAACTCCTCGACCTCCGTCGCGCCGTCCGCCCGCCCTCGCAGCCGACGGTGGAAAAGGGGAGCATCGTCATCCGCGACCTGCGGCTGTGGCATGCGGGGATGCCGAATGCCACGCCCGACGTGCGCGTCATGCTGGCCATGATTCATTTCGCTGGGTGGTACCGGAACCCGATGCGGTTGCAGTTTGCGGAAGACGTGAGGCCTTTGCTGGAGGGGGACGGGGAGGCGACGGGGAGGGATGATTTGGAGATACCTGTGGATTGGACGACGAGGGAGGAGGCTTTGAGGACGTATCTGGGGAGGGGGTTTGGGAATAGCTACGATTTTAATCAGGAAGAGTGAGTAACGAGAGTAGATTGCGTATGATGGTGACTTTGGAACAGACTAAACGGTTTCAACTAATCAAAGATATTGCATTTTGCATTGGGGACCTTGAACAAAGATGGCATATTGCCAACTCCGCAGTGTGGGTCTTGCCACTGATGTAAACACCAACCAAATATCCACACATTCCACACGTTTAGACGATTCATTTGATTGCTAACTGGAAGCTACTGACAACCACGGATTGTGGTATCGGTCCCACGCTTTTCCCCCTTTTCCGCTCAGTTCCGACCTCCGCTTGAGAGGTACCCATTCTGACTAGCAATGGCATCATGATAATTAGAAAAACGCAAGGGAAGAAAGCCCTCAAATACATGTCTCTCACCACCACACAACTCAACTAGGCAAGCCACTGGTGTATGAGTGAGGTATTGCGAAGGGCGTGAGAGCAGAGCAGAACAAAGAAAACATGGTATAGTAATCCTCTCCTCGGCGAATTCTCCGTGGCCGATAACGAAGGAGACCGAGCTGGCTTTTCCACGCCGAAAAGATGGGAAAAAGGAAAAAATGATTAATCGGAAAAGGTTGAGAGGGGGTATAATAGGAAAGACCCGTTTTCCGCCGAACCTCGCATCCATTTTGTCGCGAGAAGAAACAAAGGAAATCCTACAGCCTTCATCCGTTGAACTCAGTATCGAAAGAGAGAGATCTGTTGAGACTCAACGCTCAGGAGGAGTCCCATAATCTGGCGGCCATCGCTCAGCGAATGCCCGTTGACCGAAATTTAAAGGGCGATCAAAGCCGCGAGGTGCTGCTTCCCGTCTTGGTCGCCTAGAAAAAACTCGGCTTCGTGAGTACACGATACTCGACATAATCCTCTCCGTCAATACTGATAATGGTGCCTTGCGAGACGAGTTTGCCGACAAAGGGGCCGTTGGTCTTGCGCTCGTACTTGATACCGCCGTAAAACTTGGTTTCTTCACCTCCAACCTTGCTGCGGTGCTCTTCTTGGCTAGCCCATACCTTGTTCAGGCGCTGCATCTCGTCGCGCTCGTGGAACAGGCTACTCATGCGGGGGCCGTTGCCGTTGCCGTTCTGCAAAGGCATCTTAGGCATAGCTTGAGGCGGCATTGGAGGAGGGACTAAGTTGGCCATGTGGGCGGCTTGAGCAACCTGGGCAGCTTGAGCAGCTTGGGCGTTCTGAGCAGCTTCGCGGTCAGCGGCGAAACGCTCGGTTCGAATCTGGGCGGCCTCAATCCGGGCGATTTCGCGACGTGCACTGGCGTCAATCTTATTCTGCGCTTGTACAGGGGTTCGTGATGACTGTCTGACGTCGAGATCGGGCAATGAGTGCCGAACGCCACGGTTCTCCGTTCTGCGGCTCTGGCGCAGTTCGGGGTTCGCCTCGACCTTGGTCTCGGGTGCCTCGAGCATCTCTTCTGGCTGTGGAACAATGGCGGGTGGCGGGCCCATATTGTTCATGTAACCAGGCTTATTGATGCCATTTGCCACGCGCTGCTGTGCCTCGTACACTGCCCTGGCCTCATTCTCGACTCGCTCGTTGGGGCTCTCGCCTTGATCGATTTGGTACTGACGGACACGACAATACTCCTTCACCTCGGGGCGAGACAGGACTTTAATGTGTGGCTCCAGCTCGACCTCCTCCCAGTGAATCCACAGCGCACCCGCTCCAACGGGAAAGTTGCCATCGACGAAGCGCTTATCACGCGTCTCTCGCGCCACCTTGACGCGGAACATGTCATTTTGTCCGAGGATGCCGTAGATCGCGTGCTTGTTGATAGGATCAGGCTCACTGGAGCCCTTCCAGTAGCCCACAATGATGCGTGTGGGTCTGGTACCTGGCAGAGGGTCGAATTGAGGAGTCGGCGGGATGTTTTGTGCTGGCGGCGTCTGCTGTACCGGGCCTCCACTGATCGTGCCGATGCCACTACCAGTGCGGCGACGTTTGGAGTCCGGCCGAGCCGGCATTGTAGCGTGGTCGGGAATCACCGCACCGTATGCGATGGCTGGCGCTACGGGATTCTCGGGGGGAGGGTTTTCCTCGACACGCCGGACCGCTTCCTTAGCCGCAGCTTGCTCTGCAGCATCTCGGGCCTCCTCCGTCATCTCGATAGAATCCGTTCGAAGCTTGACATATTCCTTCACTTGGTGGTGATCCAGACCAACAAGGTGGTCTGCGAAGACGACCCGCTCGAAGGTCACCCAGCTGCCACCTGGTCCGGGCGGGAGGGGATACTCGAGACTCGATACCGGCTCGCCGAAGCGGGTGTTCTGCTGAATGCGAGTGCGGAGGCGATCGCGGACATCAATGAAGCCAATAACTGCATGCTTGCCTCTGGGGTCAGGCACGGGTGAATCGCGCCAATATCCGAGAATGACGCCCTTCACACCACCCAGTCCATGCCTACGAGCTGGTTTGGTGCCGCGTGGCGTGCCTTCCTTCTCTGAGACAAGGCTGCTCTCCATCTTGTCTTCACTCAAGTCATTGAAAACGGACGCGCGCTTCCGCTTAGGGTAGTGAGAGACGACTGGCTCATCCTCAACATCCGCCATATTCTCATCCTCGGGATCAGAAACAACGCGGAGTGGCGATGACTTTTGCACGCCATTGCGGTTACCGACAACAATCTCATCTTCCAAAGCGCGATCATGGCTGCCTGAGACAGGGCTCAAGTTCTCTGGAGGCGGGCTTAGATCATCATCATTGGCGGTGTCGTCGTCATCCAGAGCAGGTGGCTTAACCCCATTGGCACTGCTGAGCCTGTAATTGGTATCAGTATATGCTTGTTCACAATTGAGTTTGTTGCATTCCAGGATGTGTTGCAATGTTGCCCAAATGGGTGCATTTGCAACCCTGATAAGGTCTTTGCCAACCAAGGTGGTTACGCTCGGCCATGGTGGCTGTAACTGAGAAAACCCCAGCTGATTCGGAGAGAGACAGAAAGAAAAGCATCGCCGGCGAGGAAGCAACAGCGCAAGACCAAGAAATGCAGACGATTCGAGTTGAGCAGGGGTAGAAAGCCATCCAAAGCGGATGTTGTATGCGTACATGAATCGGGAACACTTGTCCCTGACTCGACATGCGCCTCTTGGCAACTCGCCAGTTGCACTCTTGACCAAGGCAAGCAAACCGGGCGCATGCATTGAACTTTGAAAGGTACCAAAAATACATCGAAACTCTGAGTCGCAAAGAGAGAGTGAAGAACCAAGGAACTCGGATGGGGAGTTGAGAGTCTCAATGGAATGCGACGCACCTTCTTTCCTCCTTAATGGGTACAGAGGGCTCTTCTGGAGTACTCTTGAGGCGGGAGTCTCGTCGAAACGGCATTCTGAGAGTTTCGCAGGAGGTGAGAACAAAGACAGAGTATTTGCGGCGCACAACCAAGGAAACCAATGCTCAACGAGGCTGTGGAATGAAAACAGATGATATGAGAGACCGTGTATGCCGGCGACGAGGCACAAGAGTTGATGGAAGAAAAGTGATCTGGTTGATTGATGGGAAGAGAGGTGCGGTTGAATCAAGGGAGGGGTCGGTGCTGGTTGTAGTGGAAGGGGGAATGACGAGAGGGAACTCTGGCGGCCTTACAACCTAGCTTAGTGGCCGAAGCTAGAAGCGCCGTCAGACGCAGTGTCAGGGAGGGAAGGAGAGGAGGTTCCGTGCAGCCACAACACTTAGAAGGAAGTGAAGGTAAAGTAAGGTAGGTGCGGGCTGCGAAATAGAAAAATGAAGCAAGAAGTTGAGTTGAGAGCTGTGATGGATCGCAGGCAAGTCCAAGTCCAAGGTGAAGTCGAAATCGACCCAGTGTATGACTTCACCACTGGTCATAGCGCGTGGTTCTTGTACAGGAGAGCAATTGAAGAAGGAAATATCAAGTGGCAACAACTTCAAATGCAGCTAGCAATAACAGAGGAGAGAGAGAGAGAGGCGGTAAAAGAGACAAAGAGATAACTTACTCTGTGGTTGTAGGGGTCTCGGCAACTGGGGTCTGTTGCTGCGGCTCTGAAGGCGCAACTGACGGCTGCTTTGTTTCGACCTCGGTGGTGGTCTCCATCGCGGTTGGTTTCTCGCGAGTTTGTGTTGCGACCGGGTGACTCGAGCCGATTGTCTGGCGGTAAATATTGATGTGGTCGCCACAAATCAAGTGAACCCCCGGAGTTGTCGAAAATTGGGCGACAAAGACTCGCGGTTCAGGTTGGCTCTTTGGATAAGAAGAAGAAGTGTTTGCTTTGATGGGTAACTTGGCGGCTAAGGTGATTTTGGATGGAAATGCGTTGGGACGTGTGGTTGTAAGAAGACAAGAGCTAAGGCTAAGGGCCTAAGAGGAGGGATCGGTGGTTTGGTTTGATTTGAGTGACGGCTCCAAATGATCGGTGGACGCGGTTCGTGTTTGAGGCCAAGATTGAATGTGACCGGGAAAGGTGGAGACGGGGAGGTGTAGACTGAGGTGGAGGAAGGTGTGTGTATCTGTACGGAGTATTCGTAAGGGGGGGAAGGAAAGAAAAGGTGAGTGTCAAGTAAGAGTGAGAGTGAGAGAGAGAGACTGAGTGAGTGAGTGCTGAGTACGTAGTATGAGTGGATGAAAAGTGAGAGGTGTACAAGGTGTTAGATTCCACGCCTTTACCGCCTCGCCGTATTATGTCCAGTTTAGACTAAGAAGAAAGCAAAAAGCCAAGCCAAATGAGGCGAGAGTTCCAGTCATCAGTCGTCAGGCACCCCAGTCAGAATTTCTAGTCCAAGCAGGGTGTGTCGAGGTTGAGAGAGAGGTGGGCGAGAGGTAAAGCTACCTTACGCAGTAAAGTAAGGCAGAGACTGAGAGAGTGAGCTGAATACTGAACGGTACCTCAGGCTTGTGTCCCAGAGCACGGACGCTGACAGTTGAATGGCGCGGGAAACAGGATTCGGCGCCTTAAACGAGATGAAGGCGTATTTAGCGGAGAGAACTGCTGTTGTTGATGGGCGGAAACACCAGTGATCAATGTGCGAGTCGATCAAAGCCAGCCTACCATACAAGTTGATGGCATTGGGTTATCACCGCGTAAGGGTATGTGAGGTGAGGAAGAGAAAAGTGGTTGGAATTAGACCCCAAGGAGGACCGTGTAAAAGTTGGGCACAGCATACACCCGTAGTGTACTGTACAGCACAGCACGGACAAGGAAGGGTGAATTTCAGTAAGCTAAGCTAAGCTAGGTACTTTACTCAAGTACTGTTGTGGCCTGGCCGCATTGGAACCTTGGTTATTGACGTGGTGTTTGTAAAGTTGAGGGGGGCGTGTCACGAGCAAAAAAAGGATGGGAACTTTGGAAATGGAAGGGGGTAGGGGGCAACAGAAGGAAAGGAAACAAAGCGATTGGTATGAGAATCGGGGTGTGAATGGGGTTCACTTCACCAAGGTGCAATAAAAAGCCCGGCAAGGTTTTACTGCCAAATGAGAGGAATTTTCTGCCAGTGGGCGGGTGAGTGAGCGAGTGAGTGAGTGAGTTAGTGGCCATGGATGGATGGGGAGGAGGATAAGGGCGAGAGAGATACGGACGGGTTACTGAGAGACACAGGTTTTAGTTTGTCCCCAAGGGAGAACAGGCCAACCAGAGTTGCGACTGAGATTTTTTGATTTCGGAGGTGGTTGCAGTTTATTGGGTAAGTTCTCCAGTAGCTCCCATCGAGTGGGAGGCCAAGCAGCCTCAACCTCTCATGAGACGACAGAGAGAAAGAGCGCCCAGCGATAGAGAGTGTGAACAAAGGGTACTTTGATCAAAAGTGGTCCGTGGCTCATATCATCTGTCGGTCACACATTATAAGAAAACCAATGATACTGCCAATGCCCCCGTAATGGAGACGGACGGATGAGGAAAGGTAAGGTAGTCATCACCCTATCCAGTCAGGACAGCATGGTCATGTACCAAGCAATTTGCATCAATAGTACCTTTTTTTCCTAGGCCCGGCGAGCTGGATTGCGCGTTCCAGGATGTTATTCCCTCCTTTTCCTCCACCGCCGCGCTCCCAGAGACTCCCATCCATCGTCCCTGCTTCCGCCTATGGCCAGTCCACGTTCGGCTTGCGCGTGCTCAGATCGCATCAGATCAGATGGGCCAAACACCTCACCATTCTTGACGAGTCGTCGCCCAAAGCAGTTCGTGGAGAATCACTCGGCGCCCCAGGCAAGTTACCATTTGGATCTTGGGCTGTACGACAGTCTCGGGCTCTTCTTGCTCAGGGCACGCCTTATCCAGGGTCGCACATCTTCAAATGATAGGGTCTAGTATGCGTAACGAAGTAGCGTACAACCAAGCTGTGACCGTGGCTCGTGTAATTCCCTGTCAACCCCAGTCGCAGTTGTGACCAGAGTTTCGATGACTGGCTGACTTGTTCTGTCGAGCGGGGCTCAAGTAGGGGGGGACTCTCACTCGGGAGGGGGGGCCACCACCACTAAGCAATTTGATTGACGCCTCGCTGGTGTATCTCTAAGTTGATTGACTGTTTGGCAATTGCGCCGGCAAATGTGAGATAAAACCCTGGAATCTCCGTGGTACCGTATCCGTAGCTGAGCCCCGCTTGCGCGCGAAACTCTCTCGCGAATGACCAAATGTACCTCACCTTGAGCGTTTGGCATGTTGCATTGTCTAAGTTGGCGTAATGAAAAGGTACTGCCGTTCCATGTATATCCTCTGATTACGTCTGTCTTACTCGCTTGGCTTGGTCACGGTGAGGATTGGCTTGGCCGGGTTGGTCCGGCTGCCAGTCTGCGCGCAGAGTCCCAACCTAAATTGAATGCCATTGGCTTTTGCTCAAAGTTCACCACGGACACATTTACTACTACCTATCTTACGTGACTGACTGTACTTGTGAGCTGCCTCTCCGAGTCTCTTTCGTCATGTGTCTACAACGTTTGGTGATTATCTCTGAACGATGCCCCTTTCGCCCCTCTCAAGGTATTTAGACCTTGAACTATCAGACTCATGCATCGGCATCGGTACTCTACGTCGGTTATCGGTGTCAGGCGTCCGGCATGGTGCAACTAATCTGTGAGAGAGGAATATCATTAGGTCTACGTACCACAACACGCAAAGTACTTGGCAAAAAGTACTCTTCTCATTCCACATTATCAACAACCCAGGCGGGCTAGCACAACCTAAGACAACCTGGGCGCCAGCCAGCTGCCACCAAGCGCGTTTCTTGCCTGGTATCCGTATCATGTCGACCCACCCCTGCCTTGAGTTTAGGTAGTTCGCCCTCAACAATCATCACTCTGTTCCTTCTCTATTCTACTCTTCCTGAGGGGCCCGGTGGGAAAGTCCGGCCAAGCTGTCGCAAGTTGCAATCAATCGCCATGCGACACGGCACGCGCAAGAGCGCGTACAACCGACGGCAACTGTGCCCGATCAGCAGGTCGGTCGCAGCAACTCCAGCCGTTGAGGGCAACAAATTCTCTTCCCAAACACAATGATCTGCTGACCTGAGGCAATCGGCCGACTTGTCTGGCTATCTTTGTCTTTCTCCCTCTCGCTCTGTTCATCACTCACCTCCACCAACCCGCGATTAACCACACGTCCGCATTCGGGTTACACCAGTCTCGTTTTTGGGTTTATGAGACAATCACCTAGGTACCGTTATGCCTCGGCTGCCATTGCCGTTATCAATAGAAGGAATCGCTTATGCCATTCAAGAGCAAAATTCGACCATCCTGTTGCTCAATCCCCGACATGAACATGGTACTTTGGTATTAATGATGACGAGTCCACCTTGATCGGCTAGCCGGCCCCACGCATCCTTGGAACAGCGTGTAAAGCCGTGGTACTAATATAATAATGTTATTGCTTCAGTGGTGGATCTCTGGGCGTGTTGACACTGCATCAGCGCATCAGATCGCATCATCCTAGGCGGTTATTGGTCTCTCCGTCAATCATTTTGTCGTAACATTGTCTTCTATCTCGCGCCTTTTCTCCGCGCGCCGTTTCTTCGCAACCCTTGTGAACAGAAGCCTCCGCATCGCTAATGTTCATGTCAGGCCAACTAACACTAACATGGGCCACGATACTTCACGCCAATCAACCACCAATGAGTTAGGTTGTCTGTCGCAACTCCCGTTACATACTTATGCAACCAAGGTACAGTTATGGCCTCCAACGTATTTGAAAGTGTGTAAATGAAAGAAGGGGGGCCAGAGTCAGAAAACCCCCCTCTTCACCTTCGTCAGGTTGTCAGCAGACGACGGATCTACGATTCCTCAACTCGAAACGCAGCGAGTTACCCTATCTAGGAACTCCCGAAACTGGGGCGCGTGGATGAGGATGAGCAACCTCTCGGGCTACGCTCGCACCAGGTGCCGCACTGCCAGACCCCCCATGCTCACTGTTCTGCTCGAATTTTGTGCGGCGGCGTGCACCGGGGGATGATTGCCACCACCTAGGTTGCATGGATATCGGAAACCTCCTTCTCCTTTACCGCCAAGACGAAATGTTCCATCCTGAACTATTCATAACCACATCCCTCGGGCATTCATGGTTGCCTTTGTCAATTTTGTGTTTCAATCCTTCAACTCCCGAGTCCCCCGCACGAGCCGGGCAAGTCGGCAAGCGGAGTTGATGCCTCTTCAAGTTTTGACTCTTGCGCCAGCAAAAGTATGCTAAAGGCAGTTGTTACAACCACTGCCACCAGAGAAGCAACCATGCCCGGTATGTTTCACCGGTTGCTGGCATGGTTCGCTGCAGTTTTGAAAGTTTTCAAAGTAGCCATAGTACGCTCACCTACTGATTTCTTTTTTTTGTTGCGATCGCTCGCGTTGTTCACTACGCTGTAAGCTGCTATTCCACTCGGATGGTGGGCCCCGCCAATACTGCATTGTAGGTACTTGGGCACCAATATTGACCCTGAAAATCAACAATTGCATATGGCAACATGGCCGAGTGGTCCAAGGCGATAGACTTGAATTGATCCTTCAATCGTTATCTATTATCTTCGGATGCGCAGGTTCGAACCCTGCTGTTGTCGCATATTCTTTTGCATTTCTCACGAAGTAGTCTTTTTTGTCGTCTCCCGCTACTATAGTCATCACTTGCCGCCCTTCATCTCATTTCCTGTATCCCATGCATGAAGCTGTGCGGTCGACTTGAGAGTTAGGTTTGCGACAATTTCCGTGGCGCATCTGTCCGAAAGTTTCTCCAAGTTGACAACTCAGGCAACCCAAGGTACTGCACGTCAACCGAGCACCAGCACCAGCACCAACAAGGCAACTGGCATGCGGGTAAATGGTGAGATTGGTTTATCTGATCACCTCATCATTCACCCGCATGCTCTTCTTGCCAACAACACACAAACCTTGATAGCCGTAAGATACCCTCTATCTTCGTTGCACCCGCTTCCATGAACACGGGAGGTAGCAATGAACACGGGCAGCGGACGAACCATACCTGGCAGGTCCTTCATCTTGATCACCTTCCTCACTGCTGCTTCTAATAATGCAGCCTTAACATTCAAATGCCGCACCTGCAAGCACTCCCTCCTTAGGTAGCACTCGATACTCGAACAGCTGATGAGTTGGAAAACGACTGGTCGTCGTACATATGAAGACTGCACGCCCAATGAAACTATAAAATAAAGTAAAAAAACGCGCTGTATGAACACTGGTCTGTACTCCGTTGGCTTTTCCTTCCTGGCCACGTCAACAGGGGTTGAACGGGCCCTCCAGTCCTGTGGTTATATCCCCGTCGTCAATCCTGATCTCCCATGCAGGTTGGCAGCCAACTCCAACTAAACCCCGGCCAACTCTCACCCCCCTAGGTGACGCATGAGCGCATCTTTTCTCACCGCGATGACAATTGTTGTTGGCTGGGGGGTTTCTCGCTCATAGTGTACTTTATCCAACTCGTTCTCATGGGTGGGCTTTTGAGGGGACTTCCAACACATGGAGGATTATAGCCCCGTCACAAATCCACGACATCTTTGGCTGAAAACCAGAGTCAAAGGCACGGTACTCGCCGAAATATCCCCCATGGTCGCGCGCAACCTAAACCGATGGGTGGCATTCCGACCCCCTGCCCTTCCATGCATTTCAATGTTCCTCCTTCCCCCTTCCATCCACTTCACGCCTTACGACTTTTGCCATGTGATTACGGACAGCGGCAGGTCATTCACACTTGCAAGAGAGAAAGAGGCCTAAACCACCCACCCCCCACAATCCCGTCGGCGTCCGTACTTTGGAAAAAAGCTCAGCCGGCGGTCGGCGGCGGTGCTGACCGACTTCTCGCCAAATACGTCGCATATTGGTCGGTGCCGTTAGATGTAAACAGCGTTTTATAATATTGGCTCTTCGTGTGGCCGCCTTCCTGATGCGCAACTCTATGCATGTTTTTTTCGCGGACAACCCCTGCAACTCTTAAGCATCGACGACAACATTTTCTTCTGCTTTGTGGATACATCAGTTTTTAGAGGGCAGGTTCCAGGGATTGTGGCCTTTTCCTCAGGCTATAGGTTTTCGCAGGTGGTGCCGACGAGAACGTATGTCCTTCGGTATATTTGGGGCGCACGTAAGCAAATCATCGCGAATGTAACTTGCTCACCGCGGCAGTGACGACGGCGACTGACTACTCTGTATTTCTACATCTGATGCGAGATACCATACTTCGCAAAGAACACGATCTTCCAACCTGCGCTACACGCTACAAGCGCGAGTTCCGCGCGCCCAAGGACTCCGCGGCCGTTCTTTTGGGCGAGTTTCATTGCGTTAGAGTTAATTAATGACTAACCAAACCTCACGGGCCATGGCAAGAGTCGCCAGATCACTTTGTAAAGTCTACACGGATACGGAATAGGATATTCAATGGTAACTCAGTATAGCTGAGGCAGGTTACGGACAGCCCTAGAAGTTTAGTTTGAAATTAACTCGAGTCATCACTCCGTACGGAGTGCTGTCAGCCTCAGAGGGAACGGACGTTGTAACTTCCTAAGCTCCCCCGAAGCATGACTCATTCCGGCGACTTGCTTGCAACTAGAAGACACGTCTTGAATCTTGGCCGCTTCCTCTCTGCCGCCTATATGGCTGTCAGTAGTACGCACCTTTTCCGGTAATAACATGCCCTTCCCGGTGATGAGCGAGGTCAGACTTTTTCCCTTGTACGGGCTTTTGTTATAGTCTATAGAAAGAATGGGTATTTTGGGGGCGGGAAGGGAGAAAAAGTCTATGTTGTGGATTCCGGGGTTGGTTGTAGAGCTGTGGTGACTGGCGTCAGCATAGCCTCTATAGTAGGTGCCAGAAGTTTGGGATTCCCAGAAAACAATTCAAGGTTTGATGAGGCTGGGGCGGTTTATGATGATCATAAATGGAAACTCGGTAATAGACAGTCCTTTCATTTCATCGTTGAACGGTATAGCCGTGCTCGATCAGGGAGGGTATCTATCAACCATTGGCGGCGATCATCACGAGCCGCAAGCCGTGAGGCTTCTCTAGTTGTACTCCATTCTATACATGCCACAATAGTCTTGGGAGGTATCCGTCCCAGAGTTCGCCCGCCTCGCCTCGAGAGCCTCTCTTCCTCCCCAGCCCGTGCCGCAACATCAAATTTCCGTATTGACCGGCAATCATTCACCGACCCCGGCCCCGTCCCCTGCCTCCTCCCCTTCCGCGTCCACCCCTCCCACCCCTCTTGCCGCCTCGGAACCCACCCCGATTATCGAATCTCTCGTAGAGCCTCTCCTCCCCAAATGCAGCCTGCCCGAACCTCATAAAGTTGACCAAGCCGCGATCCACGACGGCGACAAGAACGTTGCGGTAACCGTGTCTCAAGCGCTGGTACAGCTTTCCTGGCCCGCCCATCAAGACATGATCGGGCGCGTCGTACGGTGTCGAGTCGAGCAGCGCCGAAATCTCTTCAATATCCGGGATCGCGTCGTCGCGCGCGTCAGCGACAGCGATGCGGATGTCTGGTGGTGGTAGGTCCGTCACACGAAGGTTGGGATGCTTCGAAGGCTTCCAGACGTGCCAATGGATCTTGTACGGGTCCTCGGCTTGCTTGGGCTCCTGAGGTGCGGGCGATGGCTGGTAGCGGGATAGGAGCTCGAGTTGTTTGTAGACGACGCTATATTGTCGATAGACGCCCGGCTTGACCAAGGGCCCGTAAGGCGGTGGCGTTGCGGGCGCCGCCGATGGTCTTTGAAGAAGTGAGACGAGCCATTGCCACAGTGATTTCTGCGGTGCTTCGGGTGTGGGCGTAGATTCTGTAGGTTCTGGCGGAACGCGTTGAACGTAGTATCCCAACCGTCTGAGGTGTGAGTAGACTTGGTATTTTGGTAGTGATATCTTGCCCCGTTCGCCGTCCAGTCCGATGAAGAATGAGTAGGCGGCTTGTAAGCTCAAGGGTACGCCAACGTCGAACTCGTCTTCGGGTTCTGCGTCTTCGGAATCTGTCTGCTCTTCAGCGGGCTTCGCCTCTGACGGCGGCAGAATCTCCTTGAGCTCGCGATACGGCCACCAAAGCTCCAAGCTACCCCTCTCCACAAGGAACAGCGCCTCCTCGGGCAACAGCCACAGCTTTCCCAACGCCGGTCTCGGCGTCTTGAGTCCTCGAATCACTCTGCCCATAGACCTCGCCTGCGGACCCTTCAGCTCCTCCACGACAACAACCCTCTCCTTGGCATAAATCGGCCTCGTCTCAGTCATGAACTCCTGCAGATACTCGGGCTTCGCCAACCCAGAAGTGTCCCCATCCTCGATGGCCTCCATGATCTCGGGCCAGTAGTCCGGGAAGTACCAGCCCTTGCTCCATGTATCTCTGTGCACTCTCGTGTATCCCAGCACCTCCTCAATGACCTGCCTGCTCGTCTCCAACGCATTCTCCTGGGCTTTCGTGCCGTGCGACTCAAAGTCCTTTTGACCCTTGCGGACGGCTTGCGAGGCGACGCCCTTCTTGTTGAACATGGATGCAAAGAGTCGCATGTCGAAGAGACCTTCGTCCTCAGCTTCGTCGCCTGCGCCCGAGTCATTGTTGAGCTGCGCCGCGGCCGGCGCCGTGGTGGGATTGTCGTCGTCGTCGAGGGGCATTTTCCTCTTCTTTTGGCAGGCGCTTCGATTTTTGGTTTTTTTTATTGCTGCCACAGACTGGGTTTCTTTTTCCTTTTATACCTCGGATCCGCGATCGATCGGTTTCCAACTTCGTTTTGCAGTCGGTGCTATGTCGAATTATTGTGCAGTTCAGGCTGGTGTTGCAGGTAGGTCGAGTGTGTCTCGGTGTGAGTCTTGGTTGGGAAGGATCCCTCCAGTGGGGGGAAAAAAATTGGGTAAAGCTGCAGAAGGAGCTTGTGAGCTTTGACCAATGAGAGGTGTGCTGGGGTGTACAATAGAAATCAACCAAAAAGTTGAATAGATGTACATACCGTTGATCGCGAGGATGAAAAAGTCAAATTGCAATTGCACCGTAGGATGATGCATTAGCAATTCAACTACATTCATCCTGCATTGTGAGGATTGTTGCATCAATGATGAGTCGGATCCGACGTATGACACGCCCAAAGATGCACTGTTGTTTGGTACCGCGTGTAGGTAAACGTCTACATTCGCTCGTTGCGCGCTGTGGCATGGAGATTCTGAGTGCATCAGCTAGCCAGTGATGTACCATAATTGGATCGGCTATCAGTATTTTTTGAGTGCAATTCGAGCGTGTTCATTGTCTTTGGTCGAAGCGCTCGTTGGGATGGTGTTCCTCAGCTCAGCATGCCGTCTCTCCAACCATTGAAAGCCGCTCCGATATTTTCCTCTGTCAGCCCAGTTTTCTACCGTTTCTTCTCAGGGGGAAATTGATAGCAGGAGGCAGAGGCTGAGTAGAAGAGCACCTTCTTCGCGGGGAAAGATTTCTTCTCGGGTGATATGAGCATCTTGTCGGATTTCTTCGTGTCGGCTCGGCTAGGAGCAAGGGTTTTCAGACAAGACTAGGTGAGAAGCAAAAGAGAAGCGGAAAACTGCGTCGGGCTTCATACTGGCTCCGCCGGGTCCTTCTCCAGAAACAGCCCAGCTGATAATAGCCTTCTGAGTCCTTACGTAGCCGAAATGACCCGAAAAAGGACGATTCGACAACAGAACCAGGTTTGGCTTAGAAACTTGCACGATGGCCCCGTTTGACAGACTGATGGTCTATTTGTCGAAGTTGAGAGAGTTGACCCAGGGACTGATGCCGGTGGTGCACATGGGGAGTGAGCGCCCGTGCTATCGATGAGCAGAGCGTTGGCATTGAAGACGAGAAAGGGTATCGGTGATGAAGGTTCAGGTGGCCGGCAGGGTGTGGGAGCTAGGCTGAGGGATGGTGTTTGATATCGAATCCTCAACATCGTACTTTTCCCGAAAGACTCGCGTTTGTTGGCCTCTTATATTTCGCTTGTGTAGATCTGAAATTGCCGGTGGTTTTCATTTTCTCTTCTCTACCCATTGGGTTCCAGAAGGGAGCCGAAGAAAGACAAGACAGTGTGTGCAGATGCCGCATCTGCTCATACGCCTCCATCTGTGATTTTGTTTTTTTTTGCATTCTGCAAACTAGAAGTCATCAGTACTCGGGAACCATTGGGTGCCACGGGTTGAGAAGAACCAAGCGGCTTCACTTGCTCGCGGAGAACTTACTATGTTTGTGATTTGTTTTGAGTCTCAGGTAGGTCACCTACCTGGGGCAGTTTAGGGTCATGTCCAGGACCATACCGGCTTTGGTTCTATTTGCTAGAAGTGAGGGACCATCTTCCTGGAGCCTAGATTTGTTGACCAAGAGTCCGATGTGGATGGGATCCGAGGCATAGGCCCTGACGAGCGCTGCGACGTTTTTGTGACGGCTGCCAAGGATTGCGACTTTCTTGATCTTCCAAGCTTCTTCATGACGCATCATGGAAGCGCGATGGCGATTTGGAGTACGGGAGTAGGCTGAAATGGATTGTTAGATTCATGTACAGGCGAACAACGTCAAGAATAGAATCCCAAACTTACTGTAAGACCCTGCTTCTTTGCCTGGTCGTCTTCCAGGATAATCAGAAGACGTGCTTGATCAGAGGCTACGCCGCAATACCATTAGCTTTGCTGTAAATTATCAAAGGGAACCTCAGATCCATACCTTTGACTTAGTGCCAGTCCCCATAAGTCAGAGCTCCGTGCGAATCCGTTCATGTCGCTGCCTATGGCGGCTTCGCTATCGGATTCTTCGGGAAGATCATCTTGTCTTCCGTTCTTGATTATCAGCGACAGGCAATAAATTTGGCGAGCCGAGAAGATGGCAAGACAAGACAGTAGCGAGTCGAGTCGAAGAAGAGGGAGATCCACCAGCCCGAAAGCGTGAATCCACGCGAGGGAGGCCATGCCGCGGATTGCAGGTGCTCCCAGAGAGACTTCGAGGGAGGAAACAGACTTACCTCGATTGCGATGATGGAAATGCAAGAACGGCAAGATCGAATCTCCCGCGACCTGCGGAGCAGGTGATAAGTCGAAGGTGAGCGTGCGGAAAGAAAAGTAGAATGGGAAAGGCAGGGATGAGTCGCAACCAAACCACACAGACAGAGGTTGGAGAAGAGAGACTACAGATTTTCTGGGGAAAAGTAGGACTTGTGGGAAGATCAAATGAAGAGGAGAACAGAATGCAGAGTAGGAAGGTGAAGGGTGCAAGAGGGCAGGAGGTACCGGGCAACTCCAGGCAAGAAGGAAGAGTGGGTCCGGAATATTTGACACCCTCACCACTGACTTGGAGATGCCTTCAATCACGTGGTAGAAATATCTTCCAGTCTCGCCTATCCATTAATGACTATTCATATCTCTGAATAAATGGATGCCTTGGTCTCTTAGGTTCCCACCCGGGTAGCTAGCTACCTTACCATATGAGAAATGCCCTTTGGTTTACCGGCAATATCCCCTCATCAACCTTCTTCACGGTTGAGAACCTCTCCGTCAGACTTCAACTATGAACAGTATCGGGCTAACATAATTTCACTTTTACTCGTACCAGATATTCTAGCTTAACTCATCAAACATTCCCTTCTGAAGGGTACCGTAGGCTCTGTCCAAAGAGCGTGCGACGGATGGATCAGTCCCCGTGACGGCATACATCTATCTTCTCGGGCATCCATTCAGCCTACATCGCGCGCATCAGCACTACCGAAATCCCCCGCCCCCCCAAAAAAAAAGCAGATAACTCCGGCGATATGTCACTTGTAGTAAGTAGGTTCAGTTCTACGTACCCCTTTTGAGGCGAGCGCGCTATTGGCATCAAGGTGGGCAGTGTCAATATACGCGCTTCCTGATAGTCATAGAACCAAACCAAGAAAACCGCCAACGAAAAAGTCAATATAATGTGACGAAAACCAACTGTTACTACCTGAAGACCTTCGTCTCTTACCAAATACCGTTTAGCGACTGTTTCGGTCTCTGCCCGCCTAGCTCTCGCCGCTTCCACTCGCCTTTCTAAATCTCGAAACGATTGCGTACTCCCAGTCCATCAAAGCGGAACATTGTAGCTTAACCAGAATCGAGACGCTTCTGTAGCCGCAACTGAAAGGGTATCAATCCTTCTGGTTTATGTGTCATTTCTCATTGAGGCAAGCCATGGGTACCAAAGACAACCACCGACAGCTCCCGCCATCATCGCCGGAATTTATCTCTCCCTGGGCCATTGAGATACTTCAGCCTTCTCAACAAAGATAAAGAACGAGATCGAAGTGAAGGTCAAGATTATTCTGCCGCCTGCATGTTCTCATCACATGGAAGCGTCATCTTCTGGAGAGAAGGTCGACATTAAGGCAACGTCCAAGCATCACCTAGCTTTCACAATCGACCTCGAAACATTCGACGATAGCTCAGGCTCTCGTCTAGAAAGTTAGAGAGAAATACACTCACTACTAGCTGGCCTTCCGAGAAGCTCAGGGATGATGGCAAGGGAATAACGACAGTGGCCAACAACCCATGGTTCCACCCGTACCGGAAGGCATTTCATCAGCCGACTGTGGGCAAGGCCTCGACTGAAGAGGGGCTCCAGACTGCTTTACAAGCATATCATAAGACATGATCAGTGATGATTATTGACTTATGTAGTCATCTAGATTGGTTAGTTGGTTCTTGGAGCGAGGCTGCCATCGAAGGGGGCAAAATAATCCAGGAGAAGATTACGGCAAGGTTGCTGGAGGAGGTGGATACAGCTGGCTCTATCAGCGAGAACAGATATCAAAGCTGGGAAGGCGTTCCCTTTCGTTTGGCGTTGCGACGGGATTTCTCCGCTAACATCGTCGCCCACCATCCGCTCCACACCATGGGGCCTCACATCGTGAGAAACGAACTACCCAAAACACCAAAAAGACATACAACACCAGGTATTCGCTGGTCGTCACCGACCCAACTACTAATCCGGCCCTCATTGGCTTGTCTATGGGAGAGCGGACGGGATCCCGAATTTTCCAATGGGTATGGTCGTATGTGGAAGAACGTGGTGTGTAAGTGGAGTATGATGCTTCGAGTCGAGCTGTGGCTACTCCTGAAGCGCTCAAACTTGGCGCAGTAAATAGACAAGATGTTAACAAAGGGCATTTAAAGCATTCCCATGCAATATACGAGGGGAAAAAGTCAGTTGCGAGCTAGAACAGTTGGTAGCGGGCCAAAGATGTCCATTGCGCTGAGATATTTGACCATGGAGACGTAACATTTTTCTCACACTCATGTAGAGATATACAATTATCTTAGCTCGAGAAGATGTTAAACCACAATGGAATTCAGCAGGGAATGTGACTGGCTCATAGACAAATGGGTAAGGTATGTGTTGAAAGTGAAGGTAGTCTTGATTTTGTCTCCTTATCTCAACTGGCAACTGGGCTGTCAGAATGTCGGTCGCTCGCTTGGTGTAAGGCGACTGCTCTCCATTGTCCGAGTATCGGAGTGGAAATGAATGAATGCGGCTGCTATCCAGACCAAAAAATACCATACACTAATCGTTCGATAACAAATAGGAGGAACCATGTCTTCGAAATTGGTAAGCTCTTGTAGCAAAAGCCGCCCTCGACCAGGCATCCTCCATGTGAGGAAAGAGCTTCACGTCAGCGACAGCCATTATGAGCGCACGAGCAACTCTAGAACAAAGTAAAAAAACGATAATTCAATTGTCTTGACTTCTAAGGGAACATGAGTAGATTGAGTATCCAAGTAAGTGACTACCTGCCTCGTCGTCTCCCACCCTCTCTCTTACTCTCTTTGCCTATCCTGTAGATCCTGTACACAGATGCTTATCTCCCTAACTTAAATCTCTTGCCCTCAAAATCAGCCATCTCAAAAAACTAGCGATCATTTCACCTTTAACCTCAAAGATATTTGGCCTCCAGAAGGGTGTCCAGACGTAGTGCGCACAAAGAGCGGTTGCTTGTGCCGAGAATCTCAGGAGAGAAAGGCTACCGACAAAAGAGCTTTCGAACAAATGGAATATAGAGCAGTATGGACTAAGTCTTGAGCGACTCAATCGTTCGCGTTTCAGAAGGCCACTGAGGAGAACCTCGCTCTGTTGAGGAAGCATGGCGGAGTGTTGAGAGCCGCCAGTCGTTGAAACGACTTTCCTCGCTATTAACTCAGTCAGATTGTATGCCTCGAGACTATTCCCAGAGGGAGAAGAACACTGTATTTGAACAGCCGGAGAGGAACGGGAGAGCCACTGATGGAGCTGTCGGACTGTTTCATCCGTTCGTGAAATCGACTCGTTCGAGGAGAAGCTCCCGTACAAGCATCGTCGAAGGGCAATCGCCAGGTGGAGTTTTCCCTGTCCGTCACCGCCGACTATTCCCTCACAGACTGGGTCACCGAAGGGGAGATGAACAGGTGGCAAGGGGAACCAGAGCTGATCGACATCGCTGTATGGACTGACTGCTGAACAATCAACTGATTGCAACTCAGCTAACACAAGTCTCAAAGGCCAAGGTCAATGAATGCCACCCATGTGTCAATCTCAGCCAGCTTCTCAAGCCGTGTACTAGTCTCAAGGATCATGTGGAGGCAGCCATTCCTAGCATCGGAGCAATTGTGAAGGGCTCGCTGACTGCGGCTATTCTTGCAGACGAAATGTGCCTTAGCAGGACGGCCATCATAACGACCACCGGAGCCACAGGTGCGTCTCACGAAGGAGCCGTAATGATAGTAGCACCAAAACGTGCCATTGACGTGTTGAATTTCGAGTTGAATAGTCATTTCGGAAGGGGATGGTCTACGACCGTCTACCCCAGCAGAACCTCTGCTCAACTTGAAGAGGGACTCAAGCCTCGGACGCTCGTCCTAGCAGTCAGGAACATGAATTCGGCAGAGTTCATTCAGGGGCAATGTCATTACTTTCTAGTCACTTATCATAGGGAGATATGAAGGAAGTTGGTTCGCCACAAAATTGGAAGTCACGCTCCTCTAACTCGTTCATGTCCAGGATTCGGATCTCGATAAGGCGTGAAAAGGAGACTACCTCCTGTTCACAGCATCATGGAAACTCTGAGGTCTGGAATTTCGTGTTGTTTTAGGGGATGAAGCTCATTCACTATATGAATAACCTCACAGGCGAACTTGTCCATAAGGTCATATGAATGCTCGACGTCAAGTCTGCACAGTCCCGGAGTAGAACGCCGACGCCATCAAAGCCCTTCAATATAGGGGACTGGTTTTGCTCTTCCAGCGCAAGAGTCCTGCTCACGGATATTTGTTTGGGGTCTTTGGCGCATCGAACAGCATGAACCCTTCGAGTCAGCTTGTGGGGTACCGTCTTTGGGCATTCAATGATGTGTTCGTCTTCAAGCTAGCAGCCACCGTCCTCTATGCGTCGCGTCATGGGGTTGCACAATTGAAATCGCCGTAATGACGTATAAATTTCAGGGAATCTCCATGTTCAGAAACAGGTCGACGGGCGCCGCGCAAGTCCGCCACAAAGCCGTGCTGGGAACCGCTCCTCCTCAAGCCTGCGTCTTATCCTTCCCGCCGATTTTTACGTTGCTTGGGAGCAACTGCCGCGATAATGTCATCGGGACCAAAGCGCCTCAGATAACGATGACAGAGATTAGGGTCACAACGTTGGCGATATGAATGACGACGAAGATGCTGTCGTTCTTCTTGAACCGAGGGAGTAAATTGGACTCCGAGCGTCTGCAGCAAGTGGCAAGAAGCAGAAGTTGGGCAATCTCAGGCCCGAGCAACTCCTCGAGGAGTCTAGTATTCAAACGACCCTTCAAGCCGTCCGGGCCATTCTCGACAGAACTCCAGGCGCGAAGATTCTGGTTATTTCAGAGGTGCTCGAGGCCCTGTATTGCCGGGTTGTGGCTTTCATGTTAGGTATCGGAAATGTTCAAACACGACAGACCATGTTCCAGTTCATTTGGGTTATCGCTACCGACATAAGGAAGGAAGCTGGAAGGAAGTCACTCTCTTTTCAAAGCCCCAGCGACATGTTGGTCACTTCCAAGGCCGTCGGTCAAAGTGTCATGATGACCAGTGCTCACCACGTCATCTGATGCAGGTATACAAGATCAAAATGGCAAGCTCTTTGATGGCAAGCCGGGTGGTTTGATGGGCAGATCGGAAGAATGCGGATATGGAAGATGTTCCTCGAAAAATAATGACAGACCACATCACGAGGGCGGCGGACTTGGTGGCGCGGCCAGTGCATCAGCCGTCAAGTCCTAGTCCGTTGTCCCTATAACTTCAGGAATAACGACGCCCGTTCTGGGCATCGCTTCTCTTGTGGCTCATAGCAGAACCGTGGTAGCGACATAGACGTGGACAGCAAATGATATCTTTCGGTGAAGAGGGGAGGCTTTCGTCAGGCAAGGTGACGCAAATTTCCCTTCCTTCTTGAAAGGATGGGAGGGGGGGTGAGGGTGAAGGGAGGTCGGCTTGATGATACGTTGTGTAGTAAAGAAGGCCTTCAATGTTGGTTCATGAGCATTCTCCAGTATGCACATAATGTCAGTGGCCAAAGATGTGTTGATGCCTCCAGTCTCTCAAACGTTCATGCTAGTGCATAGCTGTCGACACTTCGAGCTTTTCCATGCGTTTCTCAGAGTCTCTCTGTTCTCGTCGGGGTCTACTTCCCTGGGTCGTTCGAGGACGGGAAACAGGAAAGTTTACATCGTAGTCGCAGTACAAACCTTGGCGAACTCGCCCTCGACACCATGCTGGGTCTGCGAGCGAGGGTGAAAGGGAATGCGCCCCATGAGACCTACGAGGCCGGGCTGAAATTGTTGAATCAGGTCGATTCTATCTCCTGGCGCTGAGAGGTCCTTTGACCAAGTGATAGTGGTGACGAACTCAATGCCATACACATTCTTGGGAATCAAAAACTCAAGTCGCCGAGGCCAGCCTTCGGGAATCCCTATCAGTCATAAACCTACAGTAGCACTACTTTCGCCAGCATTCTATCAATGCTATGCTCGGCGTTTAGTCTCTATATATCTATAATTATAACTTCTAATAAACTTATCCTTCATACTATTAGCCTTATTATTAAAGCTACCCATTACCAGGATATTATACATCCCCGTATATATAAACAAAAGCCGAGGATAATAAAAATAATAAGGATAGCAAGGACAGCAAGGATAGCAGGTATAAAAAAGACAAAAGGGGCAGGAGGGACGAGAGGGGCAGGAGGGACAAGAGAGACGAGAGGGATAAGAGGGACGAGAGGGATAAGAGAGATAAGAGGGATAGAAAAGAAAGTAAAGATAATAAGTACAAAAACAATAATAAATATAATAAAATAATTAAATACCCTACTTATACGTAACTAGTCATTAAAGAAATAATACCTGCGACGGGTTATAGAGAAGGATAGAGGATCGAGTAATAATAAGGTTAATAAAATTAGTTCGAGCCGTTTCTTATAGAAGATAGTGTCTATGATGCGAGGGGATTATTAAGATACTACTTTCAGTAAGGCATATTTGATGGATGAGGCCGATGACAAGGCGCAGTCTTGTTGCTTGGCTACTTTTTGCGGAGAGAGATAATGCGCCTTTAACTGAAGCGATCACGACGCCCTTGGGTACAGGCAGACAGTGTCAAACCAGTCTAATGAAAGTCAGTCAAATGTGTATCCCGTGTAAACAAGCGCCGCTTGTTAAGGCACGTCAGCTCTACATGTATACAAGCGATCAAGCACTTCTGTGGTTGAGACATTAGGTCGAAGGGAATCTGAATGTCCTCGATGACTCCAGAAACATTGCCTTGAGAACAGTTGACTTGCGCATCCGTGAAGTGGACGAGACCGGTCGGCTATCGGCCGCTATCCTGCTTTTACCGACATACTCCGGTGTGATTGGCCAATTTGGATTGGCCCCACTCGAGGCCGAGTACCATGGCTTCGCGCCACATTGGGAACGACCGGTCCGGAGTTTGCCATGCTAGCAAGGTGTAATCGCAATGTGATGCTGTCATGAAATGCTATGGATGTTTTGGACTTGAAGAATGCTCACGACATGAACATAAGTCTCGCTTCAGTTGTGTGTGCGATGATAGGCGGGCTACCCCGGGGGAGCGCCGGATCTCGGGCTCGGCCGCCAACACTCAGATCTGGGGGTTTCTTCAGCTAGACGATCAGTGACAAAACCTCATCGTTGCGGAGAAGTAACAAGCTGAAGAAGGTTCCGATAACCTTATATGAAACCTAATGGATATCTGGAAAACTCCAACTTCTCAAGGTACTGGAAAGCTTCCTGATGTCATGGAATCGCGAATATGGCCAGGGCAGCTGGTCAACTAAGGTAGGTGTAAGTTGTACTGTAAGCTGTTGGTGCAGCTAAAGATGTTGTCAGGAGGGAAATACTCTTGGTAGGGTGTGGCTGAACGTGGCTGGCATAATCCATGCATGCATAACACATCCACCACAACAAGATCACATCTCTCCAATTTCTAGGAAACTAGAATGACTCTTCTCACTGTTGATACGTCTTCCTCCATGCTAGACATAAGCCACTTATTTAGTCGAAAGTGGTGACTTGCTTGGTGGGTGGTAACGCGCACTCGCTGTCACACCAGTTGAACAACCATATGCATAAACAATGCATCTGAAAAGCAAAACAACTGGCATCTCTTACTGGCCCCATAAACATGGACCCGCATTGGGACTAGCGCATCCGTCCCATGCCACCAAGGTCAGCAAACCCCACCACTCCCCGCCTCACCGTCCGAACTCAGCCATCCGCATCAAAAACTGGCCCCCAGCCAACATAGACACGTTCCTGACCACAGGGATCATCAAATAAGATCAGGTAGAGTGGCCGAGTGGTTATGGCGCTGGTTTTAGGCTTACGTAATAGTTACCTTCACCAGTGGGAAACCGCGCGAGTTCGAATCTCGTCTCTATCATGATATTCTTTTGCTTTTTTGACATCTCAGCTGATGGGGAGATTTGTGTGGACTTTTGGTGGCTAGGCATTTCCATTCTTCGTTTACATTCTCTTTCCTTGCCTAGAGCAGTATGTGTTTGCTTGGCATAGCCTGTTTCTCGGGGGTGCCGGGTTACTTTACCTATCGTCGAACCGAGACCTGAGATGCGGCTAGCCGCCCACCCATTCATTATTCCCGACAGCAAAGCCATGCGGCCATTTCACCAGCTGCGAATCGGGTAGGATGAGACGTGAAGTTGTCTTTCGTCTCGGTGGTCACTGTCATATTGTTGCCCGCGCAGATCTCAGCAGATGAGTGTATGTCATGCTTGGCTACTATAATGCATCAAGGTATTTACTTTGCAGTGAGTGCCAGCAACTCTAATTCAGGTGTTCGCAAGCTGGAGTTGCCCAAGAGGCCGAAAGACTTGACTTCTCGTAAACGCGTCTCGTCGCTGCTTCGCGGCTTTGGTCGCATTGGTGTTAGCTAAAGAGGCAACGCTTTCGTCTCTATCGTGGTAGGCATGCTGGTACGGCATGTTTGTCCCCAACGAGGAAGTGCTACCGACAGTGAAGTTGCACGTAATTGCAACAATGGAGTTACCCATAGAGCCAATCCAGTCTCAGAACAGAAAATATTACTCAGCATACCTTGGTGATCCTCAATAGCCTCTTTCGGCTCGATGGCTTACCTTAGCTTGTAGCCTTCTCAGACAACAGTGCCTCCAGGCAGTTCTCTTGCTCTTCTTCGAGTCCCTGGGTGAATCTGGGGACGCTCGCCTATGGTATGTGCCCGATTCCGCATCAACATCCCACCACAAACAAAGGGTGCCTCTGCAAGAGGCTCCATGTTACTGGACCTCTTCATACTGGGCCTCATCAGGTTTATTCTATAGAGAATACACTTAAAGAACCGATCAGAAAGACTACTTATGATGACAGTGATAGTGACAGGGGCAGTGGTAAAGGCAGTGCTAGAGGAAGTTGTAGTAGTAGTTATTGAAATAGAGGCTCGAGATGTGTTGACATATGGGCAATCCTATTGCATACTCCAAAGGAAACAAATAGTATGCTTAGAGATAGACTGAACGCCAGCTCAAAAATTACGCAGACTGGGATACGTCTGTAAGTCATAGCCACGGACTTAGAACAGCAAGCCTCAGGTTCACAAGCTCGATGTTGCGAACATGTGACAAGGCGGCTGGCGTGGCATAATCACAGTCAGGTATAAAGCGAGAAGAACCTGCCTTTCGAGGATCTGCAAAGTAGTGGACCTCGATACCTGATATCTTCATTTACAAAACCTTTGAGGCTAATAGAGAACTCTGACAATGGTTATTATCTCCGGCGACAGATCACATTTCTCCAGCCAACTTCATGATCAGAGGCGATTCCTCCGAGCTCATGGTATGAGGTCTGCCCATTGCAACGACCACGTTTTGCAAAGCTGGACCCTATGTAGGTCAATCACGATGGCCAGTGAGGCCAGGAGGGCATACTGACACCGGTATCTCTATTCTAATCCAAATCCCTTGTCCGTCAAAATTCATGGGAGACTCACGCCGACGACCTTTACCAGCATAGGCCAAGCTCAACCTTGGGCTTATGGGAGTGAACCACCTGAAACATGCTTGTGCTGAAGGTTGAATTCGGGCAGTATAGCACACCTCAGTCCGAAGGGTGGATGCATCCTCACTGTCCATGGAGTCTTCACATCAAACGCACCGAGTATTCCAATATTGATACTGCAGTATACGCATTCCCCTGCATCGTATGTTCCTCCTCAGGCCGACACGCCCCTAAACGGCTCTCACCCAATCCTCTATAGGCACCAAAGACGCAACAGCTCTTAACAAGCACTGTCCGTTGTAGTCGATGGCCGAGCGGTACGATTCTATCGTATGTTGGCTCACGGTCCTACATAATGCCATGGATTGCTTGTTTTTTTCCTACAGAGGCTACGGGTTCGAATCGAACTCCATCGCCTCGCCCCCCCCCCCCCTTCTCCATCTCTCCCATGAGTTCGTGATCACCTGACCCTACTTGCCACGCACCGAAATTGTGGTACTGAAATTCCGCACCTTATACTCCCTACTATCAAAAATTCGCGCGGTAGAGTTTACGGC